GTGATTGGTAGATTACGTGACGGTTCTAAAGACCTTTGAATTGAAATCTCTCCCTTGTAGCGTATTTGCTTGAATCAATGTGACAGCTTTTGACACTAGCTGCAATTAAACTTGTCTCGCAGTAATCATGCTAAGACAGGGCAGTTTGGACACGGAATCTGATTTATGGAACTCTTTTTACGCATATGTTGATAACGGGTTCTTAAGTGGAAGGATGCTGGATTGAATTCAGTCTTTCTAATCATCATTTGAATTCCATTCTGGCATACGGTTTATTGAATACGTCTATTTGACATACACCAAACAGTTTACTCAGCAGGTCTTTTAGGCAAGTTAGCATTTATTCAACAAAGAATAGTGTAAGAGATATACAATGTAGATAATTATAAATTTAATGCAATAGATTAAATTCATTTTTAATAAGTAAGATATCTTATTCATCTGGTCAGTAAAAAGTGATTATTGGCAGACACCATACGAATTGTTACTGAATAGGAGTTAGCCTCGTGGTTTAAATTGTGAGTAGACAGGACAGTGATTTATATGCACATAGCACGTGGAATAAATTAGTAATTAGACTCATGATCAGTTTCAATTTACGTTACACATATTTGGACCACGTGGAATAAACTGTTGCTGGACAGTTGTGATCAAGTGAAGTAACTGTAAGCAGCTGTACGTAACAACAGTAATTTCAATTTAAAAAAACATCGGGACCACATAAAAACAGTTACACGGTACTGGTCAGTATCAGAAGGTTGCTGCAGTTATCTATTCATTCTTTCATAATGGCGGGGTAAGTGTTTATTTTGATATTTCAATCATTGACTTGAATATTTGGCTTTGACAACATCGACGTACCACATCAAGCGTCGTGTACTCTGCGATCATATCGACCGATCATTTGAACAGCACTGAAATTGCGGTTTAGTGGCATTTTGGTCATCAAGATCAGTTTTACATCCTTTAAAACACAAAATTTCTTGACACATCATTTTGCATAAAAGTTGCCTAGAAATTCTGCCCTTGAAAGTTTTAAGTTTATTGACGTTTTTTGATGAATTGATTTTTCAATGTACTAGGTATGTTAAAATGTTTTGGAAATCATGATAGAAAACAAAAACAAAACAAAAAGTTGATATTGAAATACCATGAATTTCGTTTTCCACTTAAATTTGAACACTGATTTTAGTGAAAACTAAATGGTGTGATTTCTGATTTTACATTAAATGAAAGTAATATTAATACAAAGAGATAGATACTTGAAAAGCATTGTGATTAACCAACAGTTCAAAGATAAGAATTGGTGAATTTTGAAAACACTTCGATCCATTTATCAATATTATTGTATGGTTCAAATAATTATGAATTAATATCATATTACTAGTATATTTCATAATTTTATTATAAATTGAATTATCCATCCGTTGACAAACTATAAGAAATATAAGCAATACTTGAGGTGAGTGTGATGACTTTGAATGTTTTGCATTTTTGAGATACCCTGTAGTTTTCTAGAATTTTTTCAAGATATGGCGTACTTCTCAATGAGCAGGGTCTAATAAATTATAGTTCGGTTAACCCAGACTCTCCCAACTTACCTAGCTTATTTCACATTATTTCAATTTCCCATGGACATAATTGTCCGTTCAATTTTAAGGGGGGGGGATTTGTTTTGTGACGAATATCAGATCCAAAGGGAGAGGACAGCCCCTTGAGAGAACTTCGAATCAAGTTAAACAAATTGGCTTTCTGGTTGAAATTTCAAACACAGGCCTTGTGTATTTCAGACAAAAATGTTTTGCCTCCCGTCAATTTCCAGATTTGCCCTATACTCTGTAGTTGTAAGTAAGTAATCTTCAGACGTATTGAAAATCAAACAAACTGATTCCCAAATGGTCTATCAGATGCATTTAAAGAATTAAATCAGAACAAGACAGAAGAACGTGTCAAAATTATTAACAGGCTTCGTGGGAGTTTTACAGATTTCGTTCTCATCTAGGAATTCGAGAAGTTGTACAAAAGAACATATGATATATGGAAAAATGCTCCCATCAACAATATCAAAGATCACGAGATGTCTTATTGTGAAGAACAAACTAAGCTAATGGAAAAGTATGATCGAACTAAGATGAGCTACTGTATGTACAAAAACTTGGTTATTATTAGATTATTGTATTCGTTTAAATATGCAACATTATCATACATTATATTGAGTAAACGAAACGGATTGGACAAGAGGACATTGCCTAAGTCCTCTGCTTTGATTGTCCTAAATGAAGTGTTACATATATATTTTATAGGTTTTATGTCACCACCGAAAAGTGGTGAAATATTGGTAATGTCTCCGTCTTTTTGTGACGGCGATCGGCGGTTAGTGATCGGCGGGTGGAGGTTGGCGATCGGCGGATGGCGTCTCCAACAAATTCTTAAAACTTCCAATAACTTAACAAATACTGTTTAGACTGACTTCAGTTATTATCAAAATCATTTTCATTTTCATTTCAGTTTTCAAAATTTCAAATATGACTTCATATCTAAGATTTGACCTTCAGTGACATTTCAAGGTAAAAAAATGTCAAAAAGTTATTTTGTCAACTTGCTTCTAATTGACCCTTTTTTCAAAATCATCTACAAGTTATCAGAAGTTCAAATCTGACATTAGATTTGAGATTTGACCTTCTCAATGTCAAAAAGGTCTTTTTCAACTTGCTTCAAATTGACCATTTTATTTTTCAAAATCATCTGGATGTTCTCAAAAGTTCAATTCCGACTATACGTTTGATCTTCAATGATATTCTCAAGGTCAACAAAATATTTGACCTTCAATGATCTTCTAAAGGACAAAAATTCAACTTGCTTCAAATTGACCAGTTTTTTTCAAAGTCATCTACAAGTTCTCAGGAATTCAAAATCTATTGTGCGCAACTAGGTGGTGACATTTTGCAATGTTTCCACATTCACATCTGGGATTATCTTTGACATGATTGAGATATAAATCTTGGTTAAGGTCACTGCATCATAGGCTTGTCTGCGTGTGTCTTGGTTCTTGATTTTTGGGCCACACAGTATACTTACATAGGACTACATCTTGATTTTTGTAAACTTGGTCCAGGAAATAATTTGATTCTCTTGAACTTAGTTCGCACTACATATCTTGATTCTTGTAAACTCGGTTCAGGCAACATTTTGATTCAAATAAACTCAGTTGAGATTACATCTCGATTCCCCCAAAATTGGTTTAAACAATTCGATTCCCGTTGATTAAGTTCAGGGTATTTATTGGTTCTCCTTACCTCGCTTGATTTTCCTTTACTCAATCTGTACTACATCTTGATTCTCATCATAAACTCATTTGGGCAACATGTTGATTCTTGTACCAAGGTTTGGGCAAAACCTTGACTTTTATAAACTTGGTTCGTGTTACAATTTGATTGTTCAGTCACTGTTTCATTTATTGATTCTCTTCAAATTCGGACTACATTTTCTTTCTCATTAACTCGATTCGGTTCAAGCTCATGTTGATTTCCTTCAACTTTGTTCAGACAATATCTTTATTTTCATAAACTCATGATCAGTTCAGGCTACATTTTAATTTTTGTAAACTTGATTTGGCTTACTTCTTGATCTTTCAAACTCAGTTTGGACAAAACATTAAATTTCTTAAAGTTTCTGGTTGCCTTTTGATTCTCTTAAACATGGCATAGGCAACATTGTGATTTTCGCAAACTCGAATGAGGTCGCAATATCATGAATTTTGTAAATATAAAGTGCATGTGGGCAACACTTTTAATTACGTAAACTCGATATGGGGTGCATGTAGATTCTCACAAACTCAGTATGGGAGTCTCATTCATTGTTAATTGAATTCGATGTATGACATCTTTGTTTTGGGTTGGGCCCAGGGTTGTGTCCCACATTCGAACCAGCTGTAAAGTGCTAATGATCGAAACCAAATCGGATGGTGAGATCCCATGCAAAAAATAGATAATCCTTGCTTTCTAATCCCTAATGATCTTCTAGCGTGATGTGTTCTGATCAATTATGTAGATGTATTCTTTTAATGATCTCTCTACTGGCAACATGAGGCAACACGAGGCACCAATGAGCTTTGTTAATTTGATTAAAAAACAATCACCAACGCTCTTGCGAATGGCATAACATTTCTCATGATTTTCTCATGTTTTGATATCATTGTAGCCCGATATAATTGTAGCTGCGTTTATCATTATCAACAAGGAATCGGAATGTCATTCACACTTTTTCTCCTGGGTGGCGTTTTGAAGGAAAAGAGAAACAGAGATACAATGCAAGGGTTTTTGGTTGCATCTTGGCACATGGGGCCCTCTACATATAAAGTCTTCTTTCTTTATATCATAAGTCAGTTTTCTTCAACACGAAAGGATATAAACACTTTTAGTTTGACTCGACCTAAAGTACAATTAACAATATACGAGGCTGATATATGATACCTGGAGCTAATATGTTTGGAACACAGGTAAAACAAGCAGACAGGACTGTTATTTCATTAAGACCTGTCATGAAACACTCATTGTTGAAAAACCTTGGCAATTAGCTGATTGTATTTTGATATATGTTTATATTTGAAATAATGAAATGATTACATGAAAAACACTTATGGTAATGATCCTAAGGACTAGTAATTGAGGGCATACGTTTTTCAACTTGAAGGTTTATCAAATATTTTACTATTTTTCTTTAATTGCAGGAAAAGTGTAAGATATGTGCTTTAGGAAGCTAAGGTACCTAGATTCAAACATGAAGGGACCGCGGGACTTGGATGGAAAGCGTGGTGGGGTACATTTTTAAGCTTGAAGGTTAATAAAATATTTCACCATTTTCTTTTTGCAGGCTATAGCTACGAATACGATATGTACTCGGGAAATTAAAGTACATATACATGTAGGTACCGCAGGATAGGAAAAGTGGGATACAATTTTCAGCTTGAAAATTAGTAAAACGTTTTTCTTTAATTACAGGCAAAGAATAAGTTCATCATGCTGAAGGTTTTGAGGGAACTGGGAGGCAGGGGGAGTACTCCGCGGCCCGACTCAGACGAAGCCTCTAAGAAACGCTCAGCAAGTGGGGTAAGTCCTTTGTAACTGCCACCCTCCATAAATTCGTCAATCTGAAGTTCACATTACACCCTGTCCAGATTGTGCTATACGAAAATAAGCGGTGCGGATATCATGTAAACAAGATGCGGATATCAGCGGTTATTTTTAAATTTGAATTTGTGATATTTCATAAACTAAAGGGATGCTGTGCACACAATCATATTCACATATTTGTAGCGCATACCCGATAAAAGGGATCATTCGTTGTACTATAGAATATATATGGCGATAATAATACAAGATAATTTTGGTATGCGCCACTAAAATTGTATCCAACTAAGACGACGTCTTTAAAATAGTACCCTCTGCGCTGCGCTCACTCGTGGAGATTGCGATATTCACTCATGGGTAAAAATGGCATCCCTCAAAAAATAATACGATATCCCCTATTTACCTCAATAACACCCGGGAATATTTTTGGTATTGAAAAAAATCGTATTATCCCGCCCAATCCCGCACTCACCTCCCAATCTCTCACGAAAATCGTATTCACCTCCTGAAAGTTTTTGCCAATATTCTGGCAGAAAGTTCAAAGCTAATCGTTTTCTTCGGATTACAATGTTTTTTTTAACTTTTCAGCATGAATATAGGGTTGGGACCTCAAAACCATGGAATGCCGGAGCGGCACCCTTGGGCAACTCTCTACAAACCATTTCTTATACCCCCCCTAAGAAAATCTACTGGGGGTACTATAAGACACCTTTATATATCAGACACTAATAAAGATATAGACTTGAAATTTTCAGGAATTAGTTTAAGTATGATGCTTAATCTGTATGGTGAAAATCAAGAAAAAATCTTAATCCGTTGCTATAGCAACAGTAATAGATCACTATTAGTTACCTTAGAAATGTATTATTTTGTGGGTTTTCAGCATTTTCTTCATATTCTTGATTCTTAAACTATCTGAAGCACATAGCATGATTAGAGGTGAAGATAAAATAATTCATCATATCATTTATGTAATATGTCTAACAATTCAGTTGCTATGGCAACATCACTTGATAATCAGGTTCTTACATTTCACTTTCTTTAATGAGTATAAAGGTGGTCCAAAGTAATACTTTTTCTAAAGGTATGTTCTCTAGGTAAAGAAACTCTTTTAGAAGTAAATAGTCACTTGAATTTGTTAAAAATGTATATCTTTGAGTTGTAGAACCCCTCCCCACAGCCCCAAAAATGTGATGATTGTTGAAAACTGGCAAAAAAAACTTCATTTTCTAGGTTCAAATTAAAAATGCATTGGGATGCAACACTTATTAGTATTCAAGGAACATCTACTGGCTTTGTCTGATATAACAATATGAAGATTTTAATTATTAGATGATGGGAAGTATTTTATTCGAAACATTTTAGAATCCTTTCCCATAAAAATGTTGAAAAGAGGGTGTGGTCAATTTTACCATTTCGCAGCATTTAAAGTTAGAAATATATACAAACCAAGGCATTAAAACATCTTCAAATGTTAAGTATATAGGACACTATATTTTATATGCTAATCTTGTATTTAGTACAAGTCTGAAATCCAATGCAATCATACAGTGGAGACTAGCAAGGTTTGCATACAATCCAGACATTGGAATCCTTTACAAGCCATTCAGCAGAATCATTTACAATTTAGAGCCAGGGTTTTGAAAACTAGCTAAAATGTTTATTATTGAAAACAACTAAAGATGGCTTTCCATTGGTCAACCAAGCAGCAATATGCATTAAGTCTGACCAGGTTTGCCATTGCTCACAGCTGCAAGTGTGACGTGTGACCAGTTGCCGCCAACATTTGGTTCTCAACATTCGTGGTTAGATCGTAAACTTGCCATTAACTCCAGAAACCACCTATTACTCAACATACAATATACCAAAGATGCCACCTCACACAAGCACACTCACTCACCCAAAGATGCCACCTCACACGAGCACACTCACTCACCCAAAGATGCCACTTTACACAAGCACGCTCACTCATCAAAAGATGCCACCTTACACGAGCACACTCATTCACCTAAAGAAGCCACCTTATACAAGCACACTCACTCATTCAAAGATGCCACCTTACACGAGCACACTCACTCACACTAGCTAGCTACTTTCCAACACCTGGCTCTGATGCTTCATGGTTTTATAAGGATTCTACGTATATAGTCACATGATGAGAACTAAGAGCTTTTTGCTTGTTGTGAATGACCCAGCTGAACAGCCTGGCTGTAACTGCCTGTAAGGAGTCTTGAAAATTTGAAGACATCATCTTTAGTGATTGACATTAATCTTTTTGGCTAGTTTTCAAACACCTGGCTCTGACGCCTCATAACTTAACAAGGACTCTACTATTTGTTCAGATGATGAGTAAGTGTTTTATATAACAGAAACTTTTGCCATGATTTGCACATTGACGGCCAAAATGACTGACCCAACACATCAGGATACAATTGTGCATGATGACCACCAACACCTGACTAATGAGATGATATGCTTATATGTGTTGACTTTATACCAATGTCCAGATTAAGCCAACCTCTCTATTATATGGTTACACTTCATTAGATGTCATTATGATACATGTACTAAATATTAAACTTACATATAGAATTGTACTTGTGCAAGATAACAACCATAGTCTGATTGCTCGGATGAGGAAAATTAATGCTTATAATATTTATACATTATGCCAATGTCTAGACTATGCCAACCTCTATTGTAAGATTACATTAGATTTCATTATGATACATGTACTATATCTATATAAAATATACATACAGAATTGTACTCATTCATAATAACCATTAAAGTCTGATTGCTCAGATGAGAAAAACCAAAAGTTGTAATAATTAGGCATTAATGCAAATCACTAAACTATGCCAACCTCTCTAATGTATGATAACATTAAATGTCATTATGATACATATACTAGATATAAAACTTACATATTATATAGAACTATACTCATCCATGATAACCATCATAGTCTCATTGCTCAGATGAGAAAAACTAATGGTTGTAATAATTAGACATTATGCCATTGTCTAGACTATGCCAACCTCTCTACGGTATGATAACATTAGACTTCATTATGATACATGTACTAGATATAGAAGTTAAATATAAAAAAGTGCAGTGTCCTATATACTAGATTATGGTAATGAATGAATTACAATGAATATGTTTTAAATGCATTGATCTTTTGTCTAATGAATGCTGCTAAATGATAAAATTGACCACAACCATATTTTAACATTTTATGGGCTAGTGTTCTAAATTATAAAAATACTTTCGAGTGTCAAATAATTATAATTAAAATCTTCATATTGTAATATCAAGCAAAGTCAGTAGATGTCTTTTGGATACTAATTGATGTTGAATCCCAATGCATTACTAATTTGAACCTAGGAATTGAATGTTTTTTGCCTGTTTTCCCCAAATTGTCAAACTTTGGGGGCTTTGGTAAGGGATTAAGATAAAGTTGTAGAATTTTATTTGACTATTTACTTCAGAAGAAACATGGTTTCATCTTTAAGGTACATAATGTTCCAAAAGTGTTATTTTGGACCACTTTTATACTCATTAAAGAAAGTTAAATGTAAGAACCTGATTATCAAGTGATGTTGCCATAGCAACTGAAATGTTAGACATATTACACAAATGATATGATGAATTATTTTATCTTCACTTTTAATCATATTATGTGCTTCTGATAGTTTAAGAATCGAGAATATGAAGACAATTATGAAACCACACAAAATAATGCATTTTTAAGGTAAGAAATAGTGTTCTATTACTGTTGCTATAGCAACGGATATATATTTTTTCTTAATTTTTGTCATACGGATCAAACATCATACCGAGAATACTTCCTGAAAATTTCAAGTCAATATCATTATTAGTGTCTGAGATATAAAGGCGTCTTATAGTACCCCCTGTAGATTTTATTAGGGGGTATGAGAAATGCTCTGTAGAGAGTTGCCCAAGGGTGCCGCTCCGGCATTCCGTGGTTTTGAGGACCCAACCCTATATTCATGCTGAAAAGTTTAAAAAACATTGTAATCCGAAGAAAACGATTGATCCTCAAAATACCCTATATTTCTTCCAGACTACAAACAAATTTTCCTATTACGTTCAGTTGGGTCGATAAATCGTGCTTTAATGATGTTCTTATGTGCAAAACATATTTTCTAAACAAAATTGAAAATAGAGATTTCGGAACGTAAAAAGTAACATTGTAAGCCTATTAAAGGGTAACGCATATCCGGGCCATCGGGAAATAGCATATTTTCCCTCAGAATCAAACCCATATTGAATCCTCCCCAGTAAATAATCGATATTTATTCCATAATAACATGAATTTCCCTGAGAAATAAACAGGGAAGAGAATTGATATTCAAAAATCCCGCATCAGATCCCTTATCAGTCAATATATCCCATATCACATCCCGTATTTGATCCGTATAAGCCAAAATCCCGAATAAGAACTTTTTCCGATTTTTACGTTTTTTGCTCTATTTGACGTTAACTTGACGTTAATAGTTGAAAATGATGAATTAAATTGAATCATTTTTGGTCACTATCATTGGGTGATGACATACAAAAGGGGAGAAAATATGATATTGGTCTCGTAAAATATATTGACAGTCGAACTATTGCCCTCGGTCAATATAATATTTTACTTAGCCAATTTCTTATTTTTCCTAGGAATAAAATTCATATTCCATCTTCCCATTAGATAACCTCTGTTTATCCCTCAATTATTGTTGTATCTATATAATAACACCCAGTGATATTTCTGATATTATCGAGATCCGTGTGATGTTTTTCAGAATATCGTTTATCCGCCTCATATTCGGCTGATATCGCTCACTTGTGTTCATATTTGATATCAACTCGTCAATAAAAATGTTATCACTCTAAACGATCTGATTTTTTGTATATCAAACCGGCTATCGCCGAGATCTGAGACAAACACCACCCCGGTCAAGTTCCAT